TAGATGTTCCTTTGTCCACAGTGCGCAACATGATCAAGAAGTTTGCAACCCATGGCACTGTAGCTAATCTCCCTGGACGTGGACGGAAGAGAAAAATTGATGAAAGGTTGCAACGCAGGATAGTCCGGATGGTGGATAAGCAGCCCCAAACAAGTTCCAAAGAAATTCAAGCTGTCCTGCAGGCTCAGGGTGCATCAGTGTCAGCGCGAACTATACGTCGAAATTTGAATGAAATGAAACGCTATGGCAGGAGACCCAGGAGGACCCCACTGCTGACACAGAGACATAAAAAAGCAAGACTACAGTTTGCCAAAATGTACATGAGTAAGCCAAATTCCTTCTGGGAGAACGTCTTATGGACAGATGAGACCAAGATAGAGCTTTTTGGTAAAGCACATCGTTCTACTGTTTACCGAAAATGTAATGAAGCCTTCAAAGAAAAGAACACAGTACCTACAGTCAAATATGGTGGAGGTTCAAAGATGTTTTGGGGTTGTTTTGCTGCCTCTGGCACTGGGTGCCTTGACTGTGTGCAAGGCATCATGAAATCTGAGGATTACCAAAGGATTTTGGGTCGCAATGTAGGGCCCAGTGTCAGAAAGCTGGGTTTGCGTCCGAGATCATGGGTCTTCCAGCAGGACAATGACCCCAAACATACTTCAAAAAGCACCCAGAAATGGATGGCAACAAAGCGCTGGAGAGTTCTGAAGTGGCCAGCAATGAGTCCAGATCTTAATCCCATTGAACACCTGTGGAGAGATCTTAAAATTGCTGTTGGGAAAAGGCACCCATCCAATATGAGAGACCTGGAGCAGTTTGCAAAAGAAGAGTGGTCCAAAATTCCGGGTGAGAGGTGTAAGAAGCTTATTGATGGTTATAGGAAGCGACTGATTTCAGTTATTTTTTCCAAAGGGTGTGCAACTAAATATTAAGTTAAGGGTGCCAATCATTTTGTCCGGCCCATTTTTTGAGTTTTGTGTGAAATTATGTCAAATTTGCTTTTTTCCTGTTTTTTTTGTGTTATTCCAATACACACAAAGGAAATAAACATGTGCATAGCAAAATATGTGTAATTTCAATACTTTTCTGTGAGAAATACTTCATTTTCTGGAAAAATTTCAGGGGTGCCAACAATTTTGGCCATGACTGTATATGCGTATGAGATGGGTAATGCAAGATATGTAAACATTAAGATAGTATAGAATACAGTATATACCGATGAGATGGGTAATGCAAGATATGTAAACATTAAGATAGTATAGAATACAGTATATACCGATGAGATGGGTAATGCAAGATATGTAAACATTAAAGTGGCATTATTAAAGTGACTAGTGTTCCATTTATTAAAGTGGCCAGTGATTTTCAAGTCTTTATGTAGGCAGCAGCCTCTCTGTGCTAGTGATGGCTATTTAACAGTCTGATGGCCTTGAGATAGAAGCTGTTTTTCAGTCTCTCGGTCCCAGCTTTGATGCACCTGTACTGTCCTCGCCTTCTGGATGATAGCGGGGTGAACAGGCAGTGGCTCGGGTGGTAGTTGTCCTTGATTATCTTTTTGGCCTTCCTGTGACATCGGGTGCTGTAGGTGACCTGGAGGGCAGGTAGTTTGCTCCCGGTGATGCGTTGTGCAGATCACACCACCCTCTGGAGAGCCCTGCGGTTGTGGGCTGTGCAGTTGCCGTTCCAGGCGGTGATACAGCACGACAGGATGCTCTCAATTGTGAATCTTTAAAAGTTTGTGAGGGTTTTAGGTGACAGGCCAAATTTCTTCAGCCTCCTGAGGTTGAAAAGACGCTGTTGCGCCTTCTTCACCACACTGTCTGTGTGGGTGGACCATTTCAGTTTGTCAGTGATATGTACGCCGAGGAACTTAAAACTTTCCACCTTCTCCACTGCTGTCCCGTCGATGTGGATAGGGGGGTGCACCCTCTGCTGTTTCCTGAAGTCCACGATCATCTCCTTTTTTTTTTTTTACTTTGAGTGAGAGGTTATTTTCCTGACACAACACTCCGAGAGCCCTCACCTCCTCCCTGTAGACTGTCTCTTCATTGTTGGTAATCAAGCCTACTACTGTTGTGTCGTCTGCAAACTTGATGATTGAGTTGGAGGCGTGCATGGCTACGCAGTCATGGGTGAACAGGGAGTACAGGAGGGGGCTGAGCAGGCACCCTTGTGGGGCCCCAGTGTTGAGGATCAGCGAAGTGGAGATGTTGTTTCCTACCTTCACCACCTGGGGGCGGCCCGTCAGGAAGTCCAGGACCCAGTTGCACAGGGCGGGGTTGAGACCCAGGGCCTCAAGCTTGATGATGAGCTTGGAGGGTACTATGGTGTTGAATGCTGAGCTATAGTCAATGAACAGCGTTGTTACATAGGTATTCCTCTTGTCCAAATGGGATAGGGCAGTGTGATGGCGATTGCATCGTCTGTAGATCTATTGGGGCGGTATGCAAATTGAAGTGGGTCTAGGGTGACAGGTAAGGTGGAGGTGATATGATCCTTGACTAGTCTCTCAAATCACTTCATGATGACAGAAGTGAGTGCTACGGGGCGATTAGTCATTTAGTTCAGTTACCTTTGCATTCTTGGGTACAGGAACAATGGCTGCCATCTTGAAGCATGTGGGGACAGCAGACTGGGATAGGGAGAGATTGAATATGTCCGTAAACACACCAGCCATCTGGTCTGCGCATGCTCTGAGGACGCGGCTAGGAATGCCGTCTGGGCCGGCAGCCTTGCGAGGGTTAGCACGTTTAAATGTCTTACTCACATCGGCCACTGAGAAGGAGAGCCCACAGTCCTTGGTTGCTGGCCGCGTCGGTGGCACTGTGTTATCCTCTGATTCTCTATGTATACCAAATGACACCCTATTCTCTGCATAGTGCACTACTTTTGACTAGGGCCCATAGGGCTCTGGTCAAATATGGGCCCTGGTCAAAAGTAGTGTACTATATAGGGAATATGGTTCAATTTGGGAGGCAGCCTCTGATTCTTTCCCTGAGATGCTGAAACGGCATTTGTTTAGTCAGTCTGCTCCACTCAGTCCGCTCGGCTCCCAAATGGCCTCATCATTACAGCCGTCTGTCTGTAGCTCCGGCCTCCTGCCCCAAGGCCACCTCTGTTTTGGAAGGCTGCTGTAAAATAATACATGTGACGTTGAGGGATGTGACCTCCACATGGCTGCCCAAAGCCCTCTCTCTCTTTCTCTCTCTCTTTCTCTTTCTCTCTCTTTCTGTCTCTCTCTTTCTTTCTCTTTGTCTTTCTCTCTCTTTCTGTCTCTCTCTTGCTCTCTCTTTCTGTCTGTCTCTCTCCTCCCTCTCTCCCTCCCGTCTCGGGCTTTGCCTCCGCTCCTCTCACCCCCGTTCAGTTGCTGGGTGTGTCCCAAATGACACCCTATTCCTCTATGTAGTGCCCTACTTTTGACCAGAACCCTATGGTCCCTGGTAAAAGTATTTATAGGGAATATGGAGCCATTTAGGATGCTGCCACTGTTCTGCTCTACCCTACAGGTCTCTGCTGCTCTTTGTCGCTGGATGAGCCAACAGAAGTGAGGCTCTATCGTATTTGTTTATTGCGATGGAGCTGCCCCCCTTTCGCCCTGCCCCCCTCCCGGCCCCCTCCCGACCCTTCGATGGCGCCTCATGTTCGCCTCGGCCCTGTAATGCGAAAGGGCTTTAATGGTGGACGTCACAGATTGAATTATGCCCTTGAGGAAAAGCTATTAGCTCAGTCAAAAGTCCTCATTTGTTAAATTAAAAGTGGAAATGACATGCGAGTAGTCTTTTAAGTTAATTAAAGTTGCAGAGAAAATGAAGTCTCTTCCCAATAGCACAAAATAACATCTCGTGGGGAGAGAGAGGGAAAAAAATGAATTTGGCTTCTGTTTAGTGACATCCATCATCCCCCTCTCTCCCATCCCACTCGGTGTATTTCTTTTTCATAATTTATTGATATTGGGTTACATCTTTCTTTTTTTTTCTCCTTCCTGACCGGTTCCTCTGTTCCATATGGAGTCCAGAGTACGGCCTGCCTGTCTGTCTGTCTCTCTCTTGTAGGTTGGCCTCTGTCGCAGTGTAAAAACCTCAACACTTTCAAGGCACTTCAAGTGAGACCGAGAGGAAAATAATGATTTGAAACGCAGATGAATAACCGTTTGCAGTCATGTCTACTCAGAGAACCAAGCTGTGATTCAAAGAGAGAGTATGGAGAGTATCTACACTAGCTGATCAGTATGGAGACACCACAAGGAGAACTTATCACAGTTAGTTGTCAGTGTGTGTGTGTGTGTGTGTGTGTGTTAGTACGCAGGCCAGTCCTGCAGCATAGTTCCTTGCAGCAGTCTTCTCTTCTTAGCACCATAAGAGCCGTTTACACTCTTAATTTGTCATTGGGCCTTTCCCCTCGATTCATGAAAACATGTCCTTTTTATACAATGTTATTCCTTGATGTATTATTCAAGCCTGCCTCCGTCCAAAGACAACCGTGAATAGCGGGGCGATAAAATACCTTCCTTCACACCACACACAGCGCCGTGTGGCAAACGAGTCAGCCTGAGATTTCACCCCAAAACCAAAGTCAAGCCACTGGAATAGGATTTGTGTTTCCTGGGGATATTGAAACCAGTTGACCACAAGCTTTTAGGATTTCAATTTTTTCCAGTAAGAGAGAGAGAAGAAGCAGAATATTTGGAGAGATGAAACACCTCACTAAAGAAGAGCCCGACAGACTCCACGTCACTCACCACTAGCTGTCAAAGACACCACACACACAAATCACAGTGAGCAGTGAAGTGAGGTTACATGTGCTATTATGACTAACACATACCCCAACCCTGATTCCCTCCCTCCCCTAACCATTCACCAGCCCCCATATCATTTAGTCTGTTAAAGAGAGATCCAGAGCATGGAACAGGATTTGTTGAGTTTCCCATCTTCACCATATCAGTGATACTTTGATATGCGGATGATGTTAGAGAGGTTAAGAAACGGGGAGAGAGTGACTGAATGAGAAAACGTAGAGAGAGAGAGAGAGAGAGAGTGACTGGAAGAGAAACGGGAGGGCGAGAGAGAGGGAAGGCGGAGTGAGAAGGAAGCGGTGTGCTGTGTTGGCTGACCCCTGGCCGTCCGGCCGAGGCTCTGAGTGTTTTCATAGCTCTGTATCTCCTGGACACGCTGACAGACAGACACAGTCAGACGGATGGACAGGGAGAGAGGGAGAGGGCCGTAGAGTTAGCCAAGGCAATATCCTGACATGGTCTTATTAATCTCTCCATCTCTCCTCCGCTACCACGGCTTACTATAGATATTTGGTTATTCAGCCTCACCCCTTTATCCAACACTAATAAATACACAGCCACTAACGTTGTCTAGAGGCCTCCTCCCCCCTCCCCCCGTTCTACCCAGAAACATCCTTCACACGGTGTCGGCTAAACAAAGACCTCAACATCTCGCCACGTCCAGGGAGTAATTTACGAGCTGCTGACAGTTTGAAGGGAAGAGGAGGAGGGAGAGTTGAGGCCCGCAACAGGTCATTCAACACCTGTTAGTGTGTCAGGCTGAGGCTGCCAGGCCAAGGAGAGTTCAAGTACTGGACTGTATGCCATCACACTGGATTCAACAGAACAGCTTTGGGTAGATAGTATGGAAAATCTTTGAGAAATTGATCAGAATCATATTTTCTGGTTATTTTGAAGTGAATTTTGGAATATTATATCATTTAATTATAGAGAATTTTCATGTTCCAAAATCTTGGTGTGTGTGTCTGTACGGGTGGTTGTTTGTGTTCAAGCGGTCTGGCGTGAGTGTGTGTATGTATTAGTGAGGTCTCCCTGGTTAGATCAGAGGTTAACCTCTCCTGTGGGACTGTGTCAGACTGTGTTAGTGTGTCAGACTGTGTTAGTGTGTCAGACTGTGTCAGACTGTGGTAGTGTGTCAGACTGTGTCAGACTGTGTTAGTGTGTCAGACTGTGTTAGTGTGTCAGACTGTGTCAGACTGTGTCAGACTGTGTCAGACTGTGTCAGACTGTGTTAGTGTGTCAGACTGTGTCAGACTGTGTTAGTGTGTCAGACTGTGTCAGACTGTGTTAGTGTGTCAGACTGTGTTAGTGTGTCAGACTGTTAGTGTCAGACTGTGTTAGTGTGTCAGACTGTGTTAGTGTGTCAGACTGTGTCAGACTGTGTTAGTGTGTCAGACTGTGTCAGACTGTGTTAGTGTGTCAGACTGTGTCAGGCCCTTTCAGGCCCTTCAGCCTCCATCCCCTCCTCACGCTCGCACTCTCTCAGGGTTCAGCTGTTAATGCCAGGCCGGGGGTTTTACTGTCCACCTTAGTTATAGGGCTGGACAATAATACCAGGCCGCTCCGCTACTGTTCTCTGATCACTAGCATATGCAGCCCTATCACAATACTGAACCTTTCCTGTGTTCGCTTTCATCCAAACGATCCTGACATGTCTGAATAATCCAATAACTCCCAATAAATTCTCTCAAACGGCTAACTCAAAGTGAGACTAGGGGAAGCAGCTGGAAGACTAGCAGCATTTGAGGCACATGTTCAAGCAAGTGATAACCATTATGGCATCCTCAAGTATTCGCTGAAACTTCTTTCTATTCATGTGTGTGTTCGGGCGTGTGCGTGGCGCGTGTATTAGTGTGTGTGGACACACATGCACACACACACACACACACACAGTCCTCAGTACAGTCCATGGTCAGTCTGTAGTGGTTTGAGTGTACATGGCATGCTTCATGAGAAAAGGAAGGATGTAATCAACTAGGAGCACAGGCTTTAAAATACCATAGACATCCTCTACAGAGCTGCAGTCCTGATTTACTGTCATGGGAATACACACTCACACGCACGTTATCCCGTTCAGACTGCAGGAATCCTGTATTGAATGAGGGAGGAAATATCCTGTATTATGTCTAATGATGTCTAATGATAATTTGCTGAATAGTAGAGACCAATACATAAATCATTTGTCTAGACAAGGGCACAGTGAAATTGGAGACAATTCAGAGCAAATATGATATTTTTCTTCAATTTCTTTGCTACCAATGTACTTCATTTTAAGTCATACTCATCTCTTTATTTAGCTAAATAGCATGACATGTAATTGTGTTAAAAGCTTGGCTTGTTCTTTGTTCACAGATGTGGCAGTGTTTGAACTTTAATATCTCAAACCAGATCGGCCATCATTCTCTCAACATTTGGCAACAATTCTCTACTCATTCTTTCTTTAACTACAGCTTTAGTTAATCTAACAACTCAAACCGCAAGCCTTTATCTTCTCCAAGAGGAGCACCCTGTGTCTGGGCTCTCTTACCCACTCACCCCCCCCCCCCCCCCCCCCCCCCTCTCTCTTTCCCCTGCAGCAAAGCCAAGCCTCCCCCTCAGATCTCCCCCAGTAAGTCCAGTGGAGGAGAGTTCTGTGTGGCTGCTGTCTTTGCTGCCTCACGCTCCTGGTACATGACCAACCCCAACATGAAGAGAGAGAAAGGTGAGGAGGGGTCGTAAAGGCTTTGTAGCGTTATGTTCATCATTAGATCCCACTAGTGCATTAGTATACTAGCTGTTACCCCCAAAACCACCATCACACTAAAACAGTTTAATTTAGTTTTAATTTGGCAAAATGTAAAAGTTCAAAATCTGTAAATCCAATTGACCAGGAAACTTGGCTCTGGGTGTTAACCCCTCTTAGCCCCCTGTGTAGACGCAACATTAAGGTCAGGGAAGTACAAACCCACTCAGTGAGATGCTGGGCGTAGTAGACAAAACACTTAGCTAAGTCACAACAACATGCTCCTCTTACTTTGTAACGTTGACCTGTTGACCTCTCCTGTTCCTCAGACCAGTCCAGCCGGTCAGTGGTGGAGTCCCTCTTCATCCTCAGTTGCTATGGCACCCTGGTGGAGCATGTCCTGGAGCCTCGGCCAATCAGCACAGCCCAGAAGATCAGCGATGACACACCCCTGGAGCTCAATACATGTCCACGGGCCTGCTGGAGCCTGGCCAGGTAACTGACCCTTCCTAACACACACGCATGGGCACACACACACACACACACACACACACACACACACACACATTTATTTTTCCCACTCTGTTAAGCTGTGGTTCATGTTATGAAGATTTACATACAGTAATACATTGTACAGTTATACAGTATTGTGTGTGATTATATACAGGAATGTTTGTGATTTATACAGTAATGTGTGTGATTATTTACAGTATGTTTGTGACATTATCATAGCAAACTCTGCTTTTTATTAAAACAGAGTTATATATTTTCTGCTAGTTATAATACAATATTGTATACAGTGTAAACATATTGTGCTGCAGAATCCCATTCATCCATACATCCATGTCAAATGAGCAGCTGGAACCAGATTTAATAAAGTGCTTCTGCTGTGACCCAGTTCTCTGTGATCAGACTACAGCTGTGTAGGACAAAACACACGTGATGTTCATGTTGTACACTACAGTACTGTAGGCAACGACTATAGTACACACACCTTCATATGTATATCTGCCTCTGTACTGCCAGGCTCCAAGGACCACAGTCCATTTAAACCCAGCAGGGGCACTGCTCCATACAAATGCACTACGTTTGACCAGAGCTCTATTTTGTGATGGTGGATCACCGAAAGGGTCCTAAATGGGCAAAAGTAGTGCACTACATTGGGAATAGGGTGCCATTTGGGACACAGCCTGAGATTTTCTTCTCTGTAATTAAGTTGTGTGTTTCTCTCCTATGTTGTGTTTGGTTGTTACAGGACTCCTCTGTGGAATGAGCTGCAACCTCCCTTCCTCTCCAACCACCCTCTGGTGCTGGCCTCTGACCTGGTGCAGTATTACCAATACCTCCTGGCTGGATGTAAGTGTTATACACTGTGTGTGTGTGTGTGTGTGTACTCTTCTCTGTATGTGTATATAAGTACTCTTTGTACGTGTGTGTGCACCAAGCTCCATTAGACCGGTGCCAGAGCTGAAGCCTACTGATTCCTACTGTTTGTTCTCAATGAGAGATTGTCTTCACCCTCTTATTGGTGACACATGCTGAGAGTAGGACCCTTTCAGTCATCCTCTATTACTTCCCTGTTCCCTCTTAAAACCCTCAGTAGAGATCAGACATCACTCCATCTGAGTAGTGCTCTGGCCTCCGATCCCTTATCACACAAACTATCAGCTTTTCATCCATTCTGTTCCGTCTGTACGGCACTTTGAATCAAGTCTTTGTCACTGTATGTCTCTTTGTCTGCCTCCTCTGGACAAGTCAGCATCACAATGCTAACAGCTCAACCAACTCCACTCAACTCATTAAAATGAAGCCAATTAGCCAGCCTCCAAACTCCTCCTAACTCAATAACAAGTACAAAGAGCACCAAGCACTTTAGGTTGACATGTGAAAGGCTGTGGAGGCTGGAGATGGCAGAGGGAAGAAGAGGACAACTCTTGGGGGGCAGAGTGTACACGGATGGCCACACATTTAATTTATCCTCCGTTATAAGTGTGCGTTGTTGCATTAGCTGCATAATCAGAAACATAAATCAGTAATTAGCTCCTGAAGTGCCGTTGGGTCAATCCCCTTCTCCTCCCGTGTGCCTCTTCTTCTTCTTCTGTCTCCTCTATTCTGCGCTAAATTGTCTGCTTCCCAAATGGCACCCCATTCCCTACTTAGTGCACTACTTTTGACTAGAGCCCCTGGTCAACAGTAGTGCACTATAGGGAATAGGGTGCCATTTGGGACGTAGACATTCCCCCAGTGCTCAGGGCTGAGCGGGTAGGATATTTTCTCAAATTAGTTCTAATAGTCCTTTCTAGTGTCAGAGCGATGAAGTCAAGTTGGTGTGACGGGTCGGGCAGCGGGCATCGGCGCTGGGTTTAGTGTGACTCTGTCCTGCGTGAAGGCATAATGGGCAAGACAGAGGGCATAATGATTTAGTCTCAGCGCTCTCTCATATTTAGCTCCAATTAGTGATGGCCAAAATATCACCGCCCGCCCCACCTCGTCTGTCCCTCCCTCGTCCCCGTTCCTCCTGCCTGCCGAGCAGCACCAACCCTAACGCACTCACACACAATATGCACATAATTTGTCGTCTTGTACTTCTTCTACCCATCGCTCCGTTCTGCTCTGCCCCTGGGCGTTTCCTGCATGCTGCTACGGCTCACGGAGTGCCACCTTTCATTCCTCTGCTTCCTCCGCTTTGCACCCAAGCAACGACTGAACGTTCTGTTTCACAACACCGTGCGTCCGCTCAGCTCGCCAGGGGTTGGCTGGGCAGAGTGGAAGTGTTCCAGGGCGGTCGATCTGACCCGGGGATGCATTATGCTACGCTACACTACAGCCAAACAACAGAACACACACACACACACACACACTGTTGGCTCTGTTGGCCGTCTCCAGTGGTGTGTAAAGATCAGGGCTTATGGAGGGAGAAGCTCCTGCTCTCCGCCCTGCTCCGATACAAACTACACTATCAGGGTCTAGTTTACATAGTAGATACTTCCCCAAACGTCAACAACCAGAAGGACAGAGTGACGGGAGGAGAAAGAGAGAGGAAGAAAGCGAAGAAGACTGAGACAAAGAGAGAGGGAGAGAAAAGGAGAAAAGTTGCAAAAGACGGAGAGAGGGAGCGAGGGAGGGGGGTATGATTAATCACAGGCACCTTTAGATCTGCAAATGAGTCTGTGTATTCAGGGACCTAGTTAGGTTCCACAACCTTCTAGAGTATGGGGTTAGAGGGTTTAGATGTTGTGTGATTGACAGCAGTTGCTCTCTCTATATTGGATGACCGGTGTGATTAAAAATGCATGTTGCTGCGGAGGGAGGGATGGATGGAGCTCATGCCAGCCCAGCCGGAGAGGAGCCTCGCAGGCTGGTGATAAAAGCAGCGGTGGCGCCACTTCATGGTCACTATCTCCACCTGTCCATCTGCCCAGCCCTCTGGCACCGCTATGGGCCCGCTCTGCTCTGGGCCACAGCCGGGTAAACAGCAGCTCCACCACACTGCTGGATATGATAAGAGACAGAGAGAGAGGTGCACACACTCACAGACACACAAACACACACACACAGACAGGGACACACAGACAGGGACACAAAGACCGAGAGATATGAAGAGGCGATATGGAAGAAGAGCTGGCCTCATAAATGCTGTCTCAGTCCAGCTTTGATGGCTCAGGGAATCCTCACTGTGGTGTGGATGGCTCAATCAGCCAGTTAGGAGAAACATAGACCCTTTTCATTCTAAAGGGCCCAAAATAAATGAATGAATGAATGAATAGGGCCAATTTGTGTTGCCCTGAGGTGTCGGAGTAGATTTAAACCTGCGGTCAGATCCCTTAGAATAACACCACCACAAGCTTGATGAATGTGAAGCTTATTTCCTTCCTCATTTGCAGCATTCATTCTTGAAATTCAGGGCATATTTTCCCCCCTCTGGTCTTGGTGTTTTTTGAAGCGAGGGGGCTGTATTTACATAGCTGTCTGTCGTGTGTGTTCAGACACCTCTTCCCCGGCCGCAAGACTTCGCCGAGGCAAACATGGCATGAATAATTTACCTCCCTGCTCTTCTGGCTGGCTCCTCTGAGCTCTCTGAGTAGGCTGGGCACCTCAATGGTGACACTGCTGGTGCTTTTAGGCACTGGCCTCCCCCTAGTTTCAAGTTTTATTAGTCATATGTACAGGATACACATGGTATACACCATCCAATGAAATGCTTACTTGCAGGTTCCTTCTCGACAATGCAACAATAATAAAATATAAGAACATAAAGTCTGGCCCCTACGTTCCTTTCATAATGTAGTAACTGGCGGCTGGCTGTCTCCTGGACTGTTGGCTGAGTGAGAGACTTCTGAGCCCGACGGGAGCTGGTAAAGGGAAAGTGGGAAAGGAGGATCAGCCATGGACAAGCACTGTACAAGCAAGCCGGCCTTGTCAGATCGTGACATTATCCCAACTGGCCTGCCTAATTGTCAAAAGGAGCTGCCCAAATGAGCGAGAGGTTAGAGGTAGAACGAAAGGGACAGGCCAGACAACTAGACAATGAGGCTGACCACCACTTTTGACCAGTGCACTATATAGGGAATAGGGTGCCATTTTGGATGCACCCCTGCAATACCTGCTGCTGCTACTGCTACTGGCCTTGACCAGACCACTCACTGAGTCTCTCCTCTGGTCAGCAGAACTAGACCACATCCTCGTAGAGCCCAGAGACACAGGCTCTTTAAGATCGTTTAGGGACGTTTTTAAAATCACTTTTTGTTTTTTTACTGTGTGTTACCAGAACAGGACATTTTCCAAAGAATAACACCAATCAGATTTGCCTGGTAAACACCATCAATTAGTTATTTTTCTACTTGATAGGAATGGTTATAATATTCCGCCTGAGTCATTTCAGATGGTAATCTTTGCTATCAACCATCACTAAAGCAAATATGCCGCCTTGCGATGATTAATTAGTACACTGTTTTCATATTATGTTTTGTCACTGGACTGAAACGTTTTCATACATGTTATGGCACTTTCCTATTAAAGGTAGAGTAGAGCTCTGTTTGCTAACCACATTTTCCCCCCGATGATTATAGGGGATGTCTGAAAGTAATTTTTTGTCCATACATGGAAACTTCCCTTCTAGCTAAAAAATAGAGAGCTTTGGACTGTAAGGTTCTATCTGCAAAAATCTGATTCTGAGATAGTTGGCTATATAGTTATAATAGTCATAATTATGTGGGTGCTTACATTTGTCCTATTTCACATGTGAACTGGAAATGTGTTTTTTGCATATCCCACTCTCCCTGAGACACCCTCGGAGAGTGGGGTCACAGCCAGGGATCAGCCATTATTGACGGCGACCCTGGAGCAAATAGGGTTAAGTGCCTTGCTCAAGGGCACATCAACAGATTTTACACCTAGTCGGCTCAGGGATTCGAACCAGCAACCTTTCAGTTACTGGCCCAACGCTCTAAGCGCTAGGCTACCTGCCAAACCCTCATTAGTTTGAATGTTGTCATACAT